ATGGGCGCTTTGGCAAATGCCACCTGGATTGTCCCCCTCCCAAGCAGCTTCAGACAGCCTTCCTGGTGGCTGTCAGTGCAGGATGCCTTGTTAATTGATAATCAAAGTTAATTAGTTTCCTATGCGATTCATTTCCTCCCATCGTAGCGCGTTCAACGTACTGTTGCTGCGGGACTTCTCGATGAAAGGTCCGTGGGGGGGCTCCGTAGCTTTCCTCTTGTATGTCTTCGTGACCCGGTCCACGTCTGGCTGCTTCCGTGTCATCTCCTCCATAAAGGACTGTCAAAACACAGAAGGGACAAGAAAACTTTTGCAGTTTCGAGATGGTTTTGGTCTCCTGTTGCTCCAGATCCTCGCCGGGACGAGCCAAGCCCATGGAGATGTGAGCATTAAGCACCGATGACAGGGACTTGTGGTCAAGCTATTATAACAGTGACCTCCGAACGCTGGAGGTCATCCCCTGCGCCAGCTTTGCTCCCAGGTGACAGCTCCAGTTGGGCCACACGCTGTTTTAACAGGGTCTTCCAAAACGTGTTAATGCCTCCTGCCCAGAAAGGCAGGAAAAAACCCAACCCTGCCCCTTCGCAAGTGCCTGCCATGTTCAGCCCCTGGGCTCACCTGGTGTTCGGAGATGAGGGCTTTGACCTGATCAATATTTTGAGGCGTGGGCTCCTGGTCCCGCTGGATCAGGGTTGTCTCAGCCCACTGGATCCAAGCCAGAAGCTCTTCCAGAAGCTCGGCGTTCGCCACCAGCTCGGAAAGCGCCGACTCCAGTCTCTGCTGGTGCTGCTTCGCCCACGTGAGAACCTGGCAGGAACGCGGAGATGACCATCAGCCCCAAGTGGGAAACCCGGGGAAGGACCCACCACCCCAGCCTGGAACGAAGCCTGGGGGACTCACCTCCTCGAACCTGGCTCGGATGATGGTGATCCAGTGTTTGATGGTGGTGATGCAGTCGGGATGGCAGGCGGCCAGGATGACCTCTCCCATGCCCACGGCCGCGTTCACGTCCACTCTTTTCTCCTCCACTTTCTTCATGAACTCCTGAAAGGCCCAAAGAGATTATTTTCCAACCTTGTCCCCCCCATAAATTTTGCTGGGGAGGGGGGGGTCGTTTCGGAGTTCCCCGCTACCTTGTGGGCGTCGATGAGGGACTGCAGCGCTTCGGCGTCGTCGGGAAGCGCTCCCCGAAAGCGCAGGGACTGCTCTGCCTCCGAGAGCCACTCCAGCAGCATCTGCACGGCCGCTCTGAACTCCTCTGCCTGCGGAGACAAAAGCACAGGGCTTAGCCCTCCTCCTCCCAAAACCATCAGCTCCAATTGCTGCCCAAGAGAAGGGGCTGAAAGGGACTTTAAAAACAAAACCACCAACAGACGGGCCCTCCAGCAGCTGAGCATCTCCCTCCCCTCGGCATCAGCTGGGCTGAAGAACTCAGTGTCTATAAAACCAGCACAGATACCTGTGTTCTGACCATTAGGCACCTGGGTGGTTTTTGCTCAAAGAGCCTTTGACTGTGTTTTTTGGTTTTAGTTTCAAACTCTTGCACTGGACATCAGCAAACACCAGCCCAGACAGTCTCTGACCACTACACTATTCTTGCTGTGCACATCGGTGAGATCTTTGAACTCTCCCTTTTCAAATCAGCCTCTTATCAGCTCTTCTTTGCAGAAAAGAATAAGTAAACAACCGACACCAACCCACTGCTTTGCAGTTCTCACCAGTAACTCCTGCAGGGCTGGGGTGTCGTGATCGGTCAGGACATCGGTCACTGCTCAGAACCTCTTCCTGGAGGTTTGTGTTGACCTCCTGGAGCCTGGAAAAGCTCTCCAAGGCTGTTTCCACCCATAGCCTCCTGCTCACCTGCTTCAAGGCCTGCTCCAGGCGGGTTTGTTTGGACACGGAGAGCTTGCACACCGTGTCCCACCGGTTGCTCAGCTCTTGCAGCTGCACTTTCACCCAAGTCGTGTCGTCCCGGCTGTTCTCAATGAGCTCCCGCCCGGAGCGCTTGAGCACCTGGACTGTCCCCGTGCGCTTCCCCAGCTCCTTCTGGAAGACCTGGAGGGACACGGGGCAGAAGCCGAGCAGGAGCGGTCAGTCCCAGCAGGTTGTTTTACATGAAAAGGTGAAAAAACCAACAGGGCACATGTGAAATGGTTTGGAACGCGGGTTTGGCACCCACATCAGAGCAGGCAAGCTCCAGCCCCTGCTCAGGCTGTGACAGAGCAGCTGCCTGGAATGGATGCCCAAACCCTGTCTGGGGCTCTCAACGTTCAACCTAACCCAAACCCAGGAGTGCCAGTCTGCAAGACACGCTGGGCAGAACTGCCAAGACCAAAGTTTAGAGAGGACTATGAATTCAGCCACCTTTTCCAAACGAAACCCTCAACAGACCTGACTGACAGCATCTCAGAAGAACGAGCTCCAGCTCCTGTAACCTTCCCAGAAACGTAAAAGTTTCCTCCCACTTGCTCAGCCTGGTTTCACCCTCCTTGCCCACAGCAGCAGAGCAATGCAGTGAGATGCAGCTCTGCAGCACGGCACCGACTCCAGCCCCTCTCTTCTTTAGCTCTTGGAGAAGACAAGCCCCGCTCTTGCCTCAGAGAAGGGCTGGAAAAGGAGCTCTCACCTTATGAGCATCCATCAGGTTCATGACCAGATCCAGGTCGCCATGGACAGGCTGGTCTTCAGCCAACTGGGGTTCCACCTTGTAGAGCCAGTCCACCAAGGCCTGCAGCGCATCCATGAACTGGCCAGAGAACAAGAGCGCTTCTTCCAGCTTGTGCTGCCTGAAAACCAAACACCTCCGTGAACCTCCACGAACAAACTCACCTCCTTTTGCCACGTCCCAGCGACCTCCTCCAACTGCCTCCCTCCCTCTGCTCACTTCGATATGAGTCCTTGGCAAACGAGCGCTTTTGGGTCAACGCTGGGGCTGGACCCACCTTTCCACAGATTTGCCACACACTGTGTCCCACTTGTCCCGGACTTCTCCCAGTAAATTGTCCAGCTTTTGAGTGTCATCTGGAAGCAAGGCTTTTTCTTTGAGGGCCCTGCCCGTCCTGATCGTGGTGTCGTAGACGGGCTGCTTCCCCCCCAGTGTCTTCTGGAACTCCTGGGAACCAGAGAGAAACGGAAAGTGCTTCAGAAAGCCTGGCCTTCGCTTTCTGAAGATACGTGGTGCTCGTGAAGACCCCCAGCTCAACATTTTCCATGGTTTGGACGTGGTATCCTCCTGATGGCAGAGGAGGTGCTGCCCTGCCCTCCCGACGAAGCACCCTTCCACCCTGCACCCAACACCAGTCTTACTTTGGCAAAGCTCTACCTTGTGTTTGGAGAGTTGGAGCTTGATTTTGTCAGGATCATTGGAAATCTCCAGCTCTGAGTCCAGGTGATTCTCTGCATCCTCCAGCCAATCAATCAGTTTCTTCCAAGCTTCATGGAACTGCAAAGAAACAGCAGCAAGTCTGAAACTTTACACTGGTGGTGTCCCCAGTCCCTTTTTCTGGTCTCGGGACCTTCCACCCCCCAAGGCTGGCCACACTTCGGGGGCTGGGGCACCCTTCCCACATTTCTCACCTGCTTGGCTCGCTTCCTGGCATCATCAAGAGCCCGTCCCCGCTCCACCGAGCGCTGGACGACCTTCTCCCAGCGGGACTGGACGCTCACCAGCAGGTTCTTGATCAACACCACGTCCTGCTTTTGACTGAGAAACTTCAGCTGGTTCCCAGTTTGATCCAGCTCGATGATGCGATCCCGATGAGCATTCACCTCGTTGGCGAACACCTGTGAAAGACAAAGATGTCCTCCTGGCCATCAGGGGAGCTGGATGCTCCTGCGAGCAGCCCCAGGGAGATACGAGGCGCCGACTCTCGGTCTCTCCACCCTGGGGAGCTTGTTGAATGCTCGTGGCGCTGGTACCTTGTGCTCATCGATCTGGGCCAGCACGGCGTTGAGGATGAGGCTGGCCGGGGGCGCGATGTTCAGGCTCTGCTCGGCCAACGTGAGCCAGTTGATGAAGTCCTGGAGGGAGTTCTGGAAGTCCGTGGCCAAGGCTAGGGCCTCCTCCAGCTTCGCCTGGCGGGGAAGGAGAGAAAAAAACCCAACACGAAAGGGTGAGAGCTCACGATCGGCAGTTTCGCAGACAGAGGCAGCCTTTGTGTCCCCGCCGAAACGTCCCTCCAACAGGAACCTCATCGCCTCGGCCTGGGAACGCGACTTGTTTACCAAGGGGAGCGGGGGTTTCACTGAAAGCCGCCGCTTTCTTTCAAAACAAGGAGTCGCCCCTGAAAGGGGAGACCTTCATCAGCACACGAGCAGCTGCGTCACCCTCAGCTTCCTGAGAAAAGGGCTCGCCCCGGGGAGAGCGGCTCGGCAAATGAGGTGGGCGATATTTCGACGGCAACAGCTGCAGCGCCGCAAATTTATTCTGGGCTGAGGCCACCGCGTCCCTTGTTTTATCTCATCCCCAGCCAAAAGCCTAGGATGGAGTCAGCTCGGAGGAGGATTTGGCCTGCTGTCTCGCAGACGACCAACAAAGCCTGTCTTTCAGAGCCGCGGGAGATTTCTTCCCACCTCTCCTCTAAATTAACCCAAAACGCAATTTTCCTCTCATTTTCTGTGTGATTTAAGCAGCTCTGACGACTATCTAGAAAAAACCTGACAGCTCAGACAGCATCATCTGAAAGACAAACTCAACCTGCGCAACCGAGACAGATGTTGTCAAAAAAAAACCGCCCAAACCAACAAACCAGCCAACGCTACCTTTCTCTCCTCCATCTTGGTGCTGACCAGACACCACTTCTGCTCCAGCAGCGCGACGCTCTGCTCCGTCTTCGAGCCAGAGCCAGAGTCGTCGCGGTTGAGCAGCATCAGTCGCCCCTTGGCCAGCAGCTGGCTGTACACGTCCTCCTTGGCTTTGAACTGGCCGTACAGCTCCTGCAAGGAGGCATCACCGAAGGATTAGAGAAAAGCAGAGTTCGGTGAGGGACCAGGGCTCGCTGCAACTCAGGGTGACGAGAAAATTAGGTTCGGGGACAGCAGCAAAGTGACAACGGTGTTGGCACTTTGAGCAGAGAAAGGCGGTTAAAGCATCGTGATGCTTGTCCCAGCCATCAAGTGCAAAAATTATGGGTAAGAAGAGACCAGAGAAGTGCTCTTCTTCCCATCAGATTCAGTTTTGACGCTGATATTTGACAGACGGAAGGTTGCAGAATTAAAAGCATTAAAAAGAAATGTCTCCTAACAATTTACCATGTGGGCATTGAGTTGTTCCCGGGCAGTTTCTGGCAGACCTCCTGTGGGTTTTGATGCCGACAATTGGCTCTCCATCCTCGTTAGCCACAGGAGGAAGTCTTCAATCTCACCATGGAAACCCTGGGCCTGTTCGGGAACACGTTATCAGCCACGGATCGGGTGACATCAGCCACCATTGATCATGCGCCAGAGTTAACGCAGTTTTTGCTTCAAAACCAGATAACGAGGCAGAGCTGGATGCAGCAGCTCTTAAGGAGGGGCGTACATGGAATATCCTTAACCAGGCTGTGCCTGCTCCCTGCTTCTGTGCAAGCATCAAACCCCTCCAGGACTAAGAGCTACATGAAAAACTCGTATTAAAAAAAACAACAGTGTTTCTCTCTTTCCCCCTCCCTTTCCTCCCAAAGCGAAGCAGCGAGCGGACCCTCAGCAGCGATCCGCCGCAGCGCGGGGCACCCCTGGCGCGTCCCTCCGACCTGCTGGAGTGTGGACTGAAGCTGCTGCTCCCTCTCCTCCGTCTTCTGCAGCACCGACTCCCAGCACGAGTTCAGCTTCTCCAGGCGGTTGCGCAGGCTGCTGGCATCGTCCCCGGCGCTCGACTCCAGCAGCTCGTTGCCCGCTTTGTTCACCGTCTCCACGGTCGCTTGGTGGGCCAGGACGTCGTTCTTCAGCACCTACACGAGATGCGGTGGTTGGACACCTCTCTAAAAACTCCCCTGTTCATTCCTGCCCGGGCTCAAATCAACTCAAACCCTTCACGAGAAATAAAATCCCACAGCAGGAACAGGCTAAAAAAGGAGCCGGAGAGGGAAATACTCACGTGGTGCTTGGCGAGCTCGACCTCGATGACTTTTGGGTCTCCGTTGATGGGTTTTTGCGCGTCGAGCAGCTCCTCGGTGTGGGTCAGCCAGGCCATCAGCTCAGCCAAGGCGTGCTGGAACTGGCCCAGGGCCAGGAGGGCAGCTTCTAACTTATGCTGGGCGAGGACAGGGATGGAAAAAGAAAGTTTAAGTCGGGAAGGAGGGGGAGGGCCCATCCTTTCAACCTCGCATAACCCAGATGCCCTCTCTACCTGTCTGTGAGCAATTTTCTCGCCCAAATTCTCCCAGAGATGTTTCAGCTCTGTCAGTGGTTCCTTTATGATGTCTCTGTCTGTCTCATCTGTAGCTTTTTTTAGCATCAGTTCACCTTGGTGATTAAGCTTTTCCATCTCAATCTGCTGCTGGTAAACCTCCATTTTAAACTCCTGCCAAAACAAGCAGGACAAAAACCAGAACAAAATGAATCACTGGAGCGCGAGCTCCGCGAGGCAAAGCGAGCGCCAGCGAACCGGTCCCACCGCGCCCGGCTACCTTCATCTCGTTCATTTGCTCCTTCACCGTGTTGAGGTCGGTGCCGACAGGAGACAAGTTGCAGAGCTTGATGACGGCGTTATCCAGCCAGTCAAACATGGCCTGAAAGGAGCACGGGCATCGTTAGCGAAGGGAACGGCAACGCAGGCTCCCGCCGCCGGC